CAGCCCGCCTGGCCAGCGGCCCTTCCCTGCACCCTGTGTCACCTTAGTCCACAGAGGCAGCCTTAGGATGCACCTGTCTGCGGTGCTCAACGCCCTGCTGGTGTCGGTGCTGGCGGCCGTGCTGTGGAAGCACGTGAGGCTACGCGAACATGCAGCCAGCCTGGAGGAGGAGCTGGCCCTCAGCCACCAGGGCCCCGAGCCCGGCATGGGCCCGCGCCTTGACTATCCCAGGGCCCTGCAAATCCTGACAGAGGGCGGCACGCACATGGTGTGCACGGGCCGGACGCACACCGACCGCGTCTGCCGCTTCAAGTGGCTCTGCTACTCCAGCGAGGCCGAGGAGTTCGTCTTCTTCCACGGCAATGCCTCGGTCATGCTGCCCAACCTTGGCGCCCGGCGCTTCCAGCCAGCGCTGCTCGACCTGTCCACTGTGGAGGACCACAACACACAGTACTTCAACTTCGTAGAGCTGCCCACCTCCGCCCTGCGCTTCATGCCCAAGCCTGTGTTCGTGCCCGACGTGGCCCTTATCGCCAACCGCTTCAACCCGGACAACCTCATGCATGTCTTCCACGACGACCTGCTGCCCATCTTCTACACGCTGCGCCAGTTCCCAGGCCTGGCCCGCGAGGCCCGGCTCTTCTTCATGGAGGGCTGGGGCGAGGGCTCGCACTTCGACCTCTACAGACTGCTTAGCCCCAAGCCACCCCTGCTGCGGGCCCAGCTCAAGGCGCTGGGCCGCCTGCTCTGCTTCTCCCAGGCCTTCGTGGGCCTCTCCAAGGTCACCACCTGGTACCAGTATGGCTTCGTGCAGCCCCAGGGGCCCAAGGCCAACATCCTGGTGTCTGGCCACGAGATCCGACAATTCACGCGCTTCATGACAGAGAAGCTGAATGTGAGCCACGCCGGGCGCCCGCTGGCTGAGGAGTACATCCTGGTCTTCAGTCGCACCCACAACAGACTCATCCTGAACGAGGCTGAGCTGCTGCTCGCCCTGGCCCAGGAGTTCCAGATGAAGACGGTGACGGTGTCCCTGGAGGAGCACGCCTTTGCGGACATTGTGCGGCTGGTCAGCAATGCCTCCATGCTGGTCAGCATGCACGGGGCCCAGCTGGTCACCGCCCTCTTCCTGCCTCGCGGTGCGGCCGTGGTGGAGCTCTTCCCCTATGCCATCAACCCTGACCACTACACACCATATAAGACGCTGGCCACGCTGCCTGGCATGGACCTGCAGTACGTTGCCTGGCGGAACCTTCTGGCAGAGAACACAGTCACCCACCCCGAGCGGCCCTGGGACCAGGGCGGCATCGCGCACCTGGACCGTGCCGAGCAGGCCCGCATCCGGCAGAGCCGCGAGGTCCCGCGGCATCTCTGCTGCCGGAACCCCGAGTGGCTCTTCCGCATCTACCAGGACACCAGGGTGGACATCCCGTCCCTCCTGCAGGCCATCCGGCGTGTGGTGAAGGGCCGGCCTGGGCCGCAGAAGCAGAAGTGGGCAGTTGGCCTGTTCCCCGGCAAGGTGCGGGAGGCACGGTGCCAGGCAGCTGTGCAGGGCGCCTCGGAGGCCCGGCTCACCGTGTCGTGGCAGATGCCCTGGAACCTCAGGTTCCTGGAGGTGCGGGAGGTGAGGTACGAGGTGTGGCTGCAGGAGCAGGGTGAGAGCACGTACGTGCCGTACGTGCTGGCCCTGCAGAACCACACCTTCACGGAGAGCATCAAGCCCTTCACCACCTACCTGGTGTGGGTCCGCTGCATCTTCAACAGGACACTGCCAGGGCCCTTCGCAGACGTGCTGGTGTGCACCACGTAGCAGGCAGGCCATGCCGGCCAGCCAGGTCTGCAGTCCTGTGGCGGCAACTTCAGTACGATGCGTTTATTTATTGAGCAGCTTGCACCCCCATGTGTCCCCCACTGCACTGGGGGCTGGACGCCCACCCCATCTCTGTGCTGATTGTCTACACCAGAGGTTCCTTAGTGGCAGGAGGGCGTGAGAACCCAGGAACCACTCTGGCTAAGTGACCTTGTTTCTGTCCTGGTCCCTGGGGACCCCAAGATCGTGTGGTTGCCAGGTTCACTGGTGCCCAGAGCACCCGGGTGTCCAGAGTAGCCATTAAATGATTATGAGCACCTTGTTCAAGTGTTCTCACTGGACACAAGGAAGGGCGTTGGTCCGGGTGCTCTCCCACCTGCCATCCTGCTGGCCCCCCGAGGTTGGGCTGGCAGTGGGGGTGCTAGGGCTGTGGTGTGGGCAGGCTGACCTGGTGCCATCCCGTTCTGGGGTGAAGGCCTGGTGGGCAGGGCAGGGCGTGGGCAGGAAGCACGTGGTCACCAGGGCCTTCTGTCAGTATAAACCAGACACTCGAACACAGGGCCTGCCTGCACGGTCCCTGCCTTCTGGTTCCCCCCGCAGGGTCTGGCACCATCCTCACCCCTGGAGTCCTCCCTGGGCAGCGCTGAGTGGGAGGAGATGAGACCCACAGCTGCGTGGCTGCCGTGGCGCCAGCCCAAGGAGCCACACTCACAGCCCCTCGCCTGCAGCGGGCTGCCCGGGTCCCAGGACCACTGCGCTGAGCGTCCACAGTGGTGGCATTGCCCAGTCCCTGCAGCCCAGTGCCCGTTGTCATCCTGTGCTCCTCCCCTGCGGCAGTGCCCAGCCCTACACTCACGTCGAGCGCATCTGCTCCCATGAGCACAAGCACAGGTCATCTGGGGTGGGGGCAGCGCAGCTCATGCTGTGGCTCAGTGCGGAGGGGCTGATTGCTAAGTGCTCCCAGGGCAAAGCTGCCACCCACAGCTTTCCTGTGTACTGGTCACTGGCCCACAGCCACCCAGGGAGGTGGACTCCACTCTGCGGCTGGGCTGTCCATCGTCCACATTCTGCATAGCTAACGATTGGCAGGGCTCCTCTCCACAGGTTCCGTGTCCCTTTGTGTCAGTTCCTTTGCCCTGACCACCACCGCAGCTGCCACTGCCTCAGCTACCGTGTGAATCCGCACAGAAGACCTAGCTCAGCACCAGAAGTCCCGGACACTGCTGGACGCAGGGCACAGGGGGACCACATGCTAATTAATGTATAACTGATGTAATCCCAATCAAACCACAAGGGATGTGGAGGGCAGCAGGAGAGGAGCGGCTTGGTTCATACCATATTTAAGACAAACGCACGGAAGGAGCAAAGAAGAAAAGTTGGGAGCCAGCCCTACTGTGTGGCTACAAGAGTAGCCTTCATTAAAACAGTGTCATACTGATGCAGAAATGAGAAATTAGTGGGACAGAGCAGTTCACGGTGGCCTCCGTGTGGGACACCAGGTGGCACGTGGCGCGTCCAGATCAGCACAGGAGGCTACATGCAGATGCCGTCGCAACAGGCTGTCCACGTGGAGTGCGAGGAGAGGAGTTAGCCGGAGCTCCCAGTGCTCTCCTCCAACTCTCCTGTGGGTGCAGAGTGACCATGAAGGCAGCTCTAACAGGCTCCGGGCAGTGACAAGCCTTGCGGAGTGGGCACGAAGCTAGCAAGACAAAGCTCCCACCTGGCCAAAGGCTCCCAAGTCGAGCTGCATGTGACCGGCTGCAAGAGAACAGGCCACCAAGCCTCCTGGGGGCGAGCCGGAGCGCACTGACTACATTCAGAAATCTCAGGGAGATTGGCCACAGCGAGTGCTCGTGACCCGTGCAAGGCGCAGGGGCCGCTTCACCCGTGTAGAGGCGGTCTATAAAGTAGGCTTCCCCTCGGGGAACGAGCAACAGCTCTGAGGAGCAAGTGTAGCTGGGGCGCAGGGACAGAATCGGTTCCTACCCTCTTGGGGAAGTATAAATTGACACACATTTCAGAAAACCATTTGGCAGTTTCTCTGCAAGAACTGCCAAGCTGTGTGACCCAGAAGTCCACGGGGCAGAGCAGGGACTCCTACACCAAGTCCTGACCACAGCTGCAGTGTCTGCAACTTAAGTGTCCATTATCCTGGGGGAAAAAAGCTGAATAAAGTCCACACTCCTGCTGAGATTCCCTGTAATCATCACTAAAAAGTTGGCCAATTCAGTGGTCAAAGTAAGAACAGTGGCCTGGCGTGCAGTGTGACCCTGCTACACGCTGTTTGCGTTATGCATGCAGTGCAAGTTTGACTCATTTCTCGGGAATTGCTAGGACAATCACTGTCTTCTATGCTTCTATTTGTGAATTTCGCTTTAGTGAGCGTGCATTTATAATTTTCCAGTCAAAACAACTAAGAATTGAAGCCTAGGAAGACAAATGCTTGTGCCTAATTTCTTAGCACCTGGGGGCAAGGGTATATACAGTTCTCAGGACAGCCCTTGTTTGACTTGTTGCCCATGTGTGTGGTGCGTGCATACACACACACACGCGCGCGCGCGCGCATGCACCCTCCTGATCCTGCACACCTGCACGGCCTCCCCGCTGTGCACACAGCCCATGCACCAGTGTAGGTGTGCGGTGCGGTTCCCAGGTCGTCCTTGGGTCTGCTTACTGGTGCAGGAAGCTGAGCGCCAGCACTGAGAAGGCAGAGGGGCAGGTGGTGAGGTCAGAAGCCCAGCCTGGCCTCCACCGCTCCAAGTGCAAGAAGGCCACCGTGATGCCCCCGTGTCCTGCTTTCAGGCATTCAGGAAGCACAGCCATCCGGGATGGACGCTGTCAGCTTGAGGCCGAGCGGGCCTGCAGAGCAGTGGTGGTTCCCAGCTCCTCCTCCTGGAAGAGCCTGAGGGCGTGCTTCCGGATGTGTCGCAGCAGGACCTGTCCCCGCTGCTCCAGGGTCTGGAGGACCCAGTTCAGCCCTGGGGCCCCACCCTGGCTCTCCCAGAACACTGGGTCCATCTGCAGGGACTTGAGCAGCAGGTTCTGTAGACAGCCGGATGCCAGAACCCGCACAGCTGCCTCCGGGAACCTGGGGCCCATGACAAGAAAAGGCGACCTCAGCCCCGATGAAGGGTGAGCAGGGTGGCTCAGTGAAGTCGCAGCCCAAGCCACTCTCCACACCAAAGCGACTGACCAGCGGCATGGGAAAGCAGAGGGCAGAGCTTTCTGGGGCCTACCCTAGTGGAAAGCCTGGCAGGTCGTCCCGGCCACCAGGCAGGGCAGGGCACCATGAGCATGGGCAGGAGGGGCCCCTGCAGGCTCTCCCACTGAGTAGCAGGGTGGCTGGGTCTGGCAGGCAGGGGCCCTGGAAATAGGGAGCTGCCCACTGCCCCTGCTCTGTGCCTCCCCAAGCCCAGGTCCAGCAGAGTGGGCCCCTTACCCGGCTATGCCCTCCAGCAGTCGGAAGTCCAGCTTATGTTTGGGGTGCTCCAGGTTGCCTGCATTGTCGATGTAGACCAGGTGAGATGGGTCACTGCTCCGGACCTGGGGAAGAGATGGGCAGAGAACGCAGGCTCGGGAGCAGGGCAGCAGGCTTCCAGCCCACCCTGCTTCACACAGCCCCTGTGGCTGACACAGTGCGTCCCCTACTCAGGTCCTGTGCCAAGTGCGTCCCTGGCAGCTGCACAAAGACCTCTGAGGAGACACTCATGTCGCGCATGATGCAGGAACAGAGCTGTGAAGCTGTGAAGACGTGCTCAGTGCCCATTTGGCCAGAGGGTCAGGATCTGGGCTGCAGAGGGACCCTGATAGCCAAGCCACGGGCCCGGGACTCATTGCACCTGGCCACCTGTGCCTCTTGCCCTCACCTGGCACCAGCCACACTCCATTTCCACGGGGGACTGTGCTTCTAAGCTTTTCCCACCAGAACAAGGACCACGGAGCCCTTAGCACCTAAGCGTGTGGGGTGGCTGGGCAGAGCTGTGTCGCTGGCGCATTCCCACAACCCTCGTCTTCGCCTCAATGCCTCATCCCACCCTCCTTTCCTGCCATCCCCTTCAGCAACCTGGGCTTTCCCTGCGGAGCTCTCTCCAGGGCCCCAGCGCCCTCTCCCTCTCCCACCCTGAGGCCAGGTTCTCAAACACTGCTTGCAGGAGCCCCCAAATTCCCTGGAGATTCTTGGGGGCCCAGGATGGGGTGAGGCTGGGGGTGGGGGGCTGACATACCAGGATGTGTACCAGCCGCAACTCCACCGGGTTCCGGCACTTCTCCCGCAGCCTCTCTTGCACGCAGGGGGCTGAGGGCTCAGGCTGGAAGCCACAGCAATAGCGGTCTAGCCGGTCGTGCACCTGTGGGGACGGCCAGATTCTGGGGGACAGGGCCTCCAGACCTTCTGCCTGGGGAAGCCAAACTCCCCTGTGCCCACTGCCCACACACACAGCTGCTCTCCCCGGTCTGGATTACTGCTTAGGGCCAAAGGTGAGATTGAAAGAGGCCTGCGTGTGAAAGGTGTGACACTTGAGACAAACAAAAGCCAGTGACTGCTGTGAGGGGAGAGGCCGAGGGAGGGGAAGAGGGACACAGGGACAGCAGGAGTCCAGGGCCACATCCTCCTGCCACCCCTCCTCTGCTGGGCGAAATGTTTGCTACATGCTGGTAAGCGTTGGTCCAGGGGCAGCAGGGGGCATGGAGAGGTAGGACTCGGGCTCGTGGGACAGGGCAGGTCACTACCTGGGTGCCCCGTGGGTCCAGGGGCCTTGGGAGCCCCTGCTGTACCAACCATGATGTCACAGTGCCCAAGCTTGTCATGAACTGTGCCATGCTCCACTTCTGCACTTGGGCTGTCCTTGCCCTGTGGCTTCTCTGGGCAAACAGCAGGGATGACGCCCCCCCCCCCAGGGAGGAGAGCACCAGCCTGGGGCTGGGGCATGCAGGCGGGATGGAGCCAGGGCAGAGCCACAGAGCCAGGTGGTGCAGAGCTGGGGCAGAACTCCAGCAAGCCTGGGTGGCAGCTGCCCCCAGGCCTGGTCCTAGCAGGATCTAGGGTCCCCTCCCAGGGAGAGGACCGTGGCCACTTCATCCCACAGGATGTCACTGGTGTTTGCCCCTCAGAAGTGCTCATGGCGATATGGCATTGTAGGAAAACAGTGAGCCCCTGCCACAGAGCTCCTAAGGCTGTGGACTTTCCCAAGCGACAGGTGTGTCTTCCATGTGGAGCACCTCTACCTGAACTCACAGGGACAGAGCTGCACCTAGGGCTCTCCCAGACCTCCTACCCACCCCTTCACCTGGCTGTCCCCTGTGCCCTGTGAGGAGAGTGTTTCCCTGAGTTGTGTCACTCTCTCAAGCTCCTGAACTCCTGGAGAGGTCCCGAGAGTCCCTGATCTGTCAGCAGTCTGTTAAAAGCACAGGAGGGCCGGCACTAGGCCGACTGGTGTCGCTCATGGGAGCTGCCTGGTGAGGCTGAGTCCTTCCACCATGGGGTCCACTCTGACTGCAGGTAGGAGTGTGAGACTCTAGCCAGAGTGCTGGATGCAGCAGAGAAAGGACAGGCGGTGGCGGAAGGAAATGTCTCTGCTGCCCTTCCCACCCCATACTGCCCACGGCAGGTGGCAGGAGGCAGGTGGCAGGCGACAGGTGGCAGGCGGCAGGCATGCGAGGAGCATGGAGCCTGTTATGCCTGTGACCGTCTGCACACTCGGCACAGCGGGGTGGAATGGAATGAGCACTGCGTCTGGGCGGATGAGGGTGCCCCTCTGTTGTGAGCAGGTGGGGGCTGGAAGGGCGCTGGCACAAGCGAGCCAGTCTGTGGTGTGGACACCCCAAGGCCACAGTGCCTCCTCTGTCACGGTGTGGCTGGGCTCTGTCTTCTGCCCCCTCAGTCAGCGGTCAGCCTGTCCTGTGCCCAGCTCTTCAGGGACCCATGAGCTTTCTGCTGCAGAGACTGACATCCCCTTGGGGTCCTCTGCCCAGGCTGGAGGTGAGGAGACTGCATGCCCAGCTTCCCTCGTGTGGCTTGTGAGGCCCCCTCTGGGCTCCATGTGGGCTTTGGGGACCCAGTGTGCAGTGTGGGCGGGGCTCCGGGCTCTTCAGGATCTGGACCCCATTGCGTCAGCCCAGGCACAGCCTGAGGCCTAGCGCAGAGGGAACCTAGGGCAGCACAGAGCACCTCTGCCAGGACTGGCCCGCCTCTGCTGGCCCTCCTGTCCTGACCCCATTCTGAGTGCCCCAGTGGCCACATCCTCCAACCCCAAGTGAAGACTTAGCACTCAGTACCTCCGTTTTCCCCTCCCATCACTCGCTGCAGCCTGTCCATGTTCCGTGGATCATTTGCTTCCCAACCCTCACCAATCTTAAATCGGGTGCTGGCCACACCACAAGGTATCTGCAGCCACAAGTCACAGAAAAACCTGTCTCAAATGACCTCCCCCTACTAAAAACTCGGATCGCCTGCAGCAGGTAGGGCAAGCTGCAGGTCCTGCAGCGCCAGGTAATGAGAGCCCCTTTCCCACGGCCTTACCAACAGCCGGTATTACCCCAGGAGGCCTGCAGGTGGCACTATGGGCATGTATTTTCTTGTTGGTGTTCAGCAAGAGAGCAGAGAAAGAATTCCCCTCTAGACCGTGAACTCCAAAGGCTTCCCTTCCACCGAGGCAGGGAGCTGCCAGCGAGTCACCCTAAACACGGCAGGGCGGGACGCACTGATCCCCGAGCCATCTGCATCTAAGGACAGGCGGAGAGCGAACCTCGTGAAAGTGACACACGGGAAGCGTCAGCAGCCGGGAGGGTCCCCTGCAGCCCTGATGCCTCATTCAGGTCAGGACAGATTCCCCCAGACCCCGACTCCAGCCAGGTTGCTAGCACGCGGCCCACGTCTCTGTCTGTGAGTCCTTGGCCGCAGCGAGGTGACCCCAGTGCACCCCTGTGCAGCGGTCATGGTAGAGCCTCTCCAGGCGCAGTTGGGGCTTGGGGCGAGGTCGGCAGACTGCACAGGGGCCTGAGATCCTGAGGCTTTGGGGGCCAGGGGACCCCGGCAGGCCACTCATTCTGCCGCCACCACCAATGCCTGTTGTCCCTGACACACACAGGCGGGCTCCTCTGTGTCCCAGCAAAAACCTCACTTGGGTGCTCAGAAGTGCTAATGTTGTGAGAATTTGATACACCAACAGTATCCCTTTTCTGACTTTTTTCTGCATATACGCATACTAAAGCAAGTGTGAAGTCCTCCTTCCTGCCAGACTAGAAGCCCTGCGCTGGCCCCGGCCTCACTCCTGCCTGGTGCCCAGCCCTGGCCATGCCCTGCCTGCCCCGAGCTTCCCCTGGACAGGTCTCATGCCGACCTCTCACGGCAGCGGTCGTCTCCAGGGGCGGCTGCAGGACTCAGCGTCCTGAGTTGTGCAGCACAGTTACCGGCTCACTCTCGCGTGCATGTGTAGGGGCCTGGCCCTCAGCGCTGCCTGTTTGAATATTTTGCGGCTCCGTCTGGTTACTTTTCCACTGAAGAGAAGGTAGGCTTAGACAGCAGCAGCCAGCAGCCACGCGGCCCGAGCCTGAATTCCTTCCAGCATTCCTGCAGCATTTGATCCTTTTGAAAGAATGAGGCGTTGCCCAAAGAAACAGTAATGCTCTGCAGCTTTGGGGTGCTGGGCCAGCCGAGCACGCTGCACAATCACTGGAGCTGGGGCCGTCCTTCCCTTTTAGTGAAGCCGTGGCCGAGCCCTTCAGTGCCGGGCCTTCCTGAGCCTCTGCCAGGAAAGAATCACTTGACTCCTACAATCAGACTCATACCGCCCTTATCCACATTGGAAAGGGGGGAACTGAGGCACGAGGGCTGGCTCCCGCGCCTGAGGTCACGTGTGAAGCCTGGACTGCAGCTCTGGCCGTCCAGCTCTTCCAAGGAAGTCAGACGGTACGGCACTCCTGGAGAGTGACTGAGCTTGGTTCAGTCATCTGGGATGGAAAGGACACTGTCATCTACATAGGAGCGACACCAGGCTGAGGTGGTGCTGGGGGCTGGGAGGAGCCCAGCCCGCGGCAGGGGACCCCCTGGCTCCGGGGCCAAGTATGGGGCTCCTTAGCATGGCTGAGCAGTCTGTAGACTCTGGAAGAGACGCCCGCTGTCCTTGCGGCCCTTGTCCAGGTTAGGGCTCCCACCAGCCTGGGCGGGCGCAGGCCAGGTCCTGCCTCGGCCCTGAGCTCACCGCCTGCCCACAGAATTGCAGGGTAGCCTCTCACGCTGGCACCACTCTCCCTGGGGTGGCAGGGACACTTTACAGCGGTTACGAAAGCCACAGCGCACTGGGGGACTGGAGAGGCAGCGGGTGTCTCTGGACAGCGACCCTCAGTCCCCCTCAGGACTCGCTCCCCACGCGGCCTGATCAGCAGAGGGAAAGGAGTGGGGAGACAGCCTCATCCGCCCCGTGCTCGAGGCGGGTCTCGGCGCTGCCCCGGGAGCAGGGGAGCGGAGCAGCCTTGCAGAACCCGGGTCCTCTAATGAGACGTCCGCACCTCAGCCTAAGTACAGACAGCGCAGAAGCCAGCAGCCAGTCAGAGCCCCACAGCAAGGAGCTCCCAACCAAGACCCGACGGTCACCTCCAGCGCCTGCCTGGAGCCGCACGCTGATACACACCATGACTGGTGCACCCGCACTGCAGAAGTACACGCCATCCTTCTTATGCAAAAATTCTTAACAAAGCAGAAAGCATGACTAGTTCTTCATCATCAGCATGAGCCAGGTGTTCTGGCGCTTGCCTGTAATCCCAGTGTGGGAGGCTGAGGCAAGAGGATCACTGGGAGTTTGAGGCCAGCCAGGGCTACAAAGTGAGCTCAAGGCCAGCCTGAACAACATAGCAAGAGACAGCCTGTCTCAAAAAACCACAAAAGCATGTTTTATGGTAAGACACTGGAGGGAAGAGGAAATGGGGACAGCGGCCGCGCACTCCAGAAGAAATGATGGCGTGCAGCGCTTGCACGACCCGAGCGAGCGGGCCAGCTGAGCCGCCGGCAGATGTGGGGTGACAGGAGACTGCCGCACCAACAGAGCATGTGGGACAGCAGCCGTCCTGCAGACAGGAGCCTGGCCCGGCCTGGCCTAGGAGAAAACTGGGCTTGTCAACTCGCACAGGAAGAGGACACGCCCAGGAGGGACCCGCGCGACAGGAGCCCCAGCTGCGGGGGAGCCAGCGCCTCTGCTCCGGCTGGGGCCCTCTCGGTGTCCGAAGTGTCAGAAGCTTCCCTCCAGGGAAATCTCCAGAGGCTTTGGGAATAGGAAAGCAAATCTCACAGGAAGAAAGTACCCAAGCATGTCGGGAGAGCTCTAAGAAGGACCAGTGCGAAAGCCCAAGCCCC